ATTTAACCGTTTGATTGGTAATTGAAGCAAACTGGAACTTCATCAGATGTTTCAAACAGACACAATCCAATGAATGATCTAAAGGGAGATGAATGAATACGCGAATTCAAAACACGGTGTGATGTATGACTAAAACCCCTATGTTCTGTGGCCTGGTATCGGAACCGTGTTAGTTGTGCGGTTAGGCTACTAGACTCAAACAATGAAAGAACAATTTCTTCTTTTGGGATTGTTTGCAGCATCACAAATTAATGATCTTGTTGACCATAATTAATCATTTCTTGGTCAGTAATATGCAAAACGCACCGCATCGACGTCAACTAAAATGTTTCAAAATATCCACTTATTTGCATAATTCAAAGATTATTCGTCGTTGTAGCGGATTACTTGTTAAAAATTGCAAAAAAGACAAAACATAGCGCTAGAATCACAATGGACCAGAGCCAGTAGTCAAAATTTATTTGTTTGATAACTCGACACGTTACACGAGAAAAAAATATCTGGGAATGACAATGCAAATAATTGTAATATGTTATATTTAGTATCTGTTTGATTTAATACTTATTTGAGTTCGAAACTTATGAATATGCTCTACTATAATTATGATTTTATTCTGATTACAAACAGTATTACTCATAGCCTGTCAAACACCAGTCGAACATGATAAAGATAATATACTGCCCTAACAAATCGTTTCAATAATTCCATTAGTTTTACACATAAGTCTCATTACTTCTACACATTCTATTTAGGACTATCTAATGAATATTAATGTTAAATGGAGATTGTTATGAACATGGAAACATTCCCTAAGGTCAAACAACTCATTTGATCTGGAAACCTAGCAAGACGGTTTATCAATTTCTTTCCTTTTAAGAGAACAAGAAACAGACAGTGTGTGTTGGTGCAATACTTTATCTAATCTACTCAATAAGCAAGTATTGTGTAAATTAGCAAACCGATGAAATGTTGACCATCAGAATAGACGGGGCTTTTAATCTTTCTAACGATGTCCATAGCACGAGCTGATGGAAAGTCTTTCATATTCTTACACGGCGCTTGAAACTTCAAATCCCAAAGACACAAATATGCATTTACTAGACTAGACACATATATAAATGCATGACATAATAATAAACGATTCCTTCTTTGTGCTCTCTTGATATAAGTTTACAGGTGTACATAGATGATGCTAGTACTCTTTGCATTATCATATTGAAGATGGTCCACCTAATGCTATATTCTACCAATAGATAACGATAACAGCTAATCAAACCTTCTACATCGTGTCGCGTTACAAGCAATTGTAAAGGCTAGAAACACGACTTGGCGTAAATGTCGACAAACGATTAAACAAATTTGACCAATTTGCTAAAAACGTCGCTGATATTAAAGCATTGTTAAACATCTTGTAGAATTGATGACCTCACTCATTCTTTGTATATTAAATCAGGGTTTCGCTCGTACGGGGTCACCTATAATTTAAAACAAAATTAATCCCAGTAGCTGACTCTTTCAGAATATTGAAACAGATCAATCATCTTTATTTCCTGAAATTGACCACTAGTTTGTCATGGGTGGTGATTGTTGTTCTTAGTGTTTAACGTCTGCTTCTGACGAAGGTGATATCGCAGACAAGTCCTATTTTTCATTTTTATTATCTTAGCGCACGCGCAGGGATATTTCCTGTGGGATAAAACCGGAGTGCCCAGAGTAAACCCACGAGGTTGACAAGCCGCATACGCTCACACCAGGGATCGAAACCATAACCGCAAGCCAGGGGTGACCGGCCAGCTAGAGGTTGAAGCGCGGCACTCTAGAACACTAGACCCCCCCCCCCTTTGTGTGGTGTTGTTGTTGTTCACCGAAGGTGATATCGCAGACAAGTTGTCTTTATTTTCATTTTAAAGATATCTTAGCGCACGCGCAGAGGAAGCCGAAGTACCCGGAGTAAACCCACGAGGTTGAGAAGGCGCCCCTATCTCCAAGTCACATACGCTCACACCAGGAATCGAAACCACAGCCGGAAGCAAGAGGTGACCGCCTCAACTAGAGGTCGAAGCGTGACACTCTAGACCACTAGGCCTTCCCAACCCCCCTTTGCGTGGTGATTTCTAATGCACGTTTTAAACTTATGTCCTACGTACCATTGACCAATTGCATTACGCTAAACCTACAACAACACTTCCTTCTATGCATTCTACTCATAGTTTAATCATAATTGCGGATTCGGAGCAGACGTTCATCAATAATATGAGATAACAGCCACTTGTTCTGTCTCGCCATCGGTCAAATCTGCCCAGACCAGACAATATATTAGGTAAGAGTTGACTAATAACACTCAATAAACCATACTCTAGTAGAATTAAACCACCTTTACTTCCTCGTAATTAAAACACAATGACCCACATTGTCCACCGTCTCGTTTCACTTATTATCTATAATAGATGTAGGAAATATTGTCAATTTGTGTTGGTTTTGTCCCGTCTAGCTTAACAGTTACATTAACCCAGTGAACCCGTTACTAGTTTGGACTCCACCAGGACAAATTAGATATTCTTAGTTAATCTGAAAGTTTAAATACGCCATTATTTCGTTTCGTGTTTGTTACTGATACTCTGAACAAGAAATCGGGTTGCTCATACAATGGTTCCCGGCGTAACCCAGCTAGTTCTTTAATGATTGTTAAAGACTGCAATTTAACCAGGAATGCCCTGGGATAGTGTTTTATTGAACTGAATCATTGACATTCTAGAATAATGATTATTTGACACCCAAGGAAACATTCTGGAGTGCAGTTTCGTTTTCTGACTATCCCAAAGAAACAAAATAATTTGCTGCATAAAGCAACAATGCGTATAAAATTATACGTTGTACAGATAATTACTAATGGTATTTGAACTGGTTCCCGTGATAATTATTGTTTTAATACCAGAAATTTTCCTCGAAGTGATGGGAACATGGTAACGGATTCTGTTGTTTGGCTTTTAAAATTTAACACAGGAACAAGAAAGTTTTGCCCATTATGATGATTTTTGAACAGTTTCCTAAAAATCTTTTTAGATTGAATTTGTGAAGGATACAAGTTGCACCCCCCCCCCCCCCAGATAGACATGCTAAAGTCTATTGATCACTACTATGAAGAGTTTATTTAGAACAGCTAGCGATAGTTTAGATGAGGTTGGTAATAAAGCACAGTTCCAGCTACATAGCTGATAATCTCAATCTATATAACATCAACCACTGCTTTTAGAACCAATATCTCCGAGACAAATGGTCCAATTTCCTATCATTTGTAGTAAAATCATGTTCTTAGAACCGTATTACACGATTAACAAGACGATAGTGAACACAACATGATCTGATAAGTCATCAGTTTACTTATTACCCTGATATAAATTGGGAATTGCTTCTTGGTCAATGGAACTAATGTTTCCATAAATACATAAAGACAACTAACACATATCACAAATATGTATATATAAATAATGTATATTTTACATCTATATATCCTCAAGGGTAATCGAATATTCCAGAAATCTACTTAGTATTCATATGAAAACTTAAAGATACATTATGGGAGATTAGATAAAGAGCTGGGGGTTCTCACTATAATAGTTAAAAACTAGATAATGTAAAGGGAATTTGCTGAATATTTCAGTCAAATTGATCCACTCTGAACCGAGATTTTCGTGACTGAATTTTCGGCCTATTTTCGGTACGATAAAAACATAGCCTCGATTATCCATTTCATGATTAAATCACGAATGAAAGTTGAGAAGCAACTCGAATCCTAATCCAATAGATATCACAGGTTAGCGTTGACATCGAGAGTTGATCATGGTCTGGATACGTTAATTAATGTCTAATTAATAATTTAGTTAACATTTTAGGCTCAAAGAAAGACCTGCAATAGGCAGATTAAGCTCTTGCATAATGTGTGTTTCAACTAAAATATTTTAATCTTTTAGTGGTATTTAGTAACTGAATAGAATAATAAACTCTATAGGTTAATTAACATATTTTCATTGCTAACATTTAAAATCAAAATTAGAATTTTAGTTCTATCCTTAAAATATCTTAAGTATTGGGGATTAAGACCCCACATACAAAAGTCTGAAGTACAGAAACAAAAACACTTGTGGATTTAAGTCCATTGTAGATATTTCTCAATTTATAGAAAATGACACCAGGTTTACTCATTTCTGGTATGATTAATACCAAACGCCATTTTATTATTTTGTTATTTGAAATGATTTTGGCACAGGAATTTCTAAATATACGAATATACATCTTTTATCAGAAAATCGCACCGGAGAGAGAGAGAGAGAGAGAGAAATGGGGTTTAACGTCCACTCGACACAAACTAGGTCATTTCGGGACTAACATATGGTTTAATTTTATTTACACAATTCGCTTGCGCGTAGGGGTCTTTAGCAGTGGAAGGAAACCGGAGGACCCGGAGAAAACCCACGAGGTTGGACAGGCGACCCTACTCCTTGTCACGTACAACCGGGGATTCGAAACCACGCCAGTCGACTCAATGACAGACTTTATGATACAGCGCGCGCACGCTAACCATTCAGCCATCCAACCCCCCAATCGCACCGGAAGTAGCATGAAATAACGGAAAGACTTTCAAATAAGTTGTCAATCTGAAGTTAGGAATCCAGACAAAATATTATCCGGATATTACTTTCTCACATCAATTGGAACACGCACAAACATACAGATGTTTCATTATGATTATTAATGTGTTGACATAACAATAATTGGCCACACAGACAGCTGTGTTTAAATATCTCACATATAATATGTCAGTGCTTAATTAATGAATTAATATAATAATAGATATATGCATCATAATAATATTCATAAAGTATATAAATACAACGCATAAAATCGACTAACGCCATTATCATTTCGATAACAACATGGTGGCTTGGACGTACATTTGTTTCTGTAAAATGTACTTACTGTTTAATGTTTTATCTTTTCAGACAAGGAATGATGGGAAAGGAATCCCCTTTAATGGCAGGATGAAACCCCCGCTCCCTGTAGCAATCCTAATTTGCATCATGGGAGTATCTATCCAAATAGTTCATTGTAAGTATATTTTATGTTGTGCAGGACAATAATGACAATTATCCTTTATACACTGGGAAAGATTGCCATTAAAAATTATTGCTACTTTTGAGTGCGACTAAGTTTACTAACACAAGTACCAGCGTACTATGGACCAGGAACTGAGTGTGACGTCATCGCAGCCAACTTTGATTTGTGACATATCAAAAACCAAAGTCCGTCCATCGATGCGCAATTGTCGAAGGAACGCACAAAACCAAGGCTTTTTTCGAAGCGTGTCGCCCCTAGAACAACCAGAGTAGCTGTTTGTGTCCACACACTGGTCCAAAAATAAATATGTTTTAGTAGTATCTACTTTAAGAGTGTACATCTTATCGCAAGCTGTCGCCGTTAGAAGTAGTTTCTGGAAACATCAGATCTCGGTTTAAACACTTCTAAAACCACTTCCTAATATTATGCTTTAACAGGTTCTGGATGTGATCATAAATTTAGTTCTAAGGATATGAAAACAGGAACCTTCTCTTCACCAAACTTCCCCGAAAATTATGCTGAAATGACCACATGTCATTATTTTTTTGAATCTGTTGGTGATGGTAGAATAGAGGTAGAGTTTGATTATTTTGAACTGGAAGAGAAAGGAGAAGGCGATTCAATGTAAGTTTATTGTTTTTATTGTGCCACATGATAAGAATGTTAAGAGTACCACGAGCAGGTAGTTGGTAAAGTTGTATTCGGTAGCAAGCCCATATGGCGGAACACAAATACCACTGGGATGATTACTCCTTTGTGGTGAATGGGTACAGCCATGGGTACAGCCATACACAAGAGAAATGGTAAATTTAACCAAACAAATTATTTAGTCGCATGTTAAAGAAGGGTATTACTTTTATTTATTCGAAATAAAACATAAACATTATTTCCTCTGGGTAAAATGTCGATCATAGCACAATTAGACCGGTTGGTGCAGAACAGTAAGACGTTAAACCCAAATTCATATCATTTACATTTTCTTTATATCTCAATTGCCCAATTTTGGTAACTCCGGAACAGAATGCTGAATATCGATAGTGTTCGTTTTCACTTGATCCCGATGCTTCATAATCCGTTTAAACCGGTTGCCTCTAGGTTCTTCGGCAAAGGGAAGGAATTGTGTGTGTGTGTGTGGGGGGGGGGGGGGTAACTACGGAACAGAAAGGTCGCGGAATTGCTGAATATCGATAGGGTTGGTCCTCTTATTCTTCACAATTTTGGAAAAAAATCTGTTAAAAACTATACACTATATCGCATTCACAAGGCATTCGGAAAACGGGGCATAACTCTAAAACTGAATGTCGCTGAACGCTGAATATCGATAGGGTTCTTCATGTTAAGCTCGTGATGCTTCACACTAAATTTGAAAAAATTCCGTTGAAAACTGTAACCTCTATCGCATTCACAAGCCAGTTGTTGACTTAGTGACACCATAATATACCAACACTGAAATGTAGGTGTTTAAAAATAGGAATTCTGTGTACTCAGGTTCTATTCCATGTGCGTTAATTTAATTTTCTTTTGGATCATTTTCATAATTACGACAGACTGATAACATCCTAAGGCATTCTTGTGTTCATTATAAAATATTAATCAGCCAATGAGTGACTGGGTAAACAAGAAAACAGTCTAATCGGAGTTTACAGGTCTTAAATCCTCTATTTCCTTTCATTAAGATGGCGTGTTGACATGCAAAATATTAAAGCATTTTACATTTTATCATCTCGCTTTTACTTAGATGTACTCAGATATGTAAACGTTCAATACTGGCGATTACACTTTATAATATACTTGTTTAAAATGTTATATAGCCGTTGATCAAATTCATATCATTGATTCATTGCTTAAAATGTAGAAAACCAAATTAAAAATTACTCTTCAAATTCCTAGAGTGAGGTATTCTATGCGAGATTTCGTCAAACTCCTTTAAAAGCAGCAAAATGGTGTGTATGACTCGTAAATATTGAGTTTCGATGTTTATATCTAAACAATACATTTGTCTGAAATTTCGTATACAATCACATTTTAACATGTCCGATGTATTGTATATTCACATAACGTCAAATCAAAAATAACTGTTTAATCGACCAAGATCTTCAAAGCGCTAATTTCTCTTTACGTGAAACCATACATTACAGGGAAAACACATTAAAACCAATAATTCGTTTGTAAAAAATCCTGAAATGAGGAATTAATATTCTTGTATTGTGGTTCTGTGTAGAACGATATTTTCCCCGTGATGTTGAAAATAAACAAATGATTTAAATGTCAGATCCGCAAGGATATAAATTAACGGCAATATGGTGTGTTGTTCTTCGTGTTTCTTTTTAATATATTTCTCTGGGTTGAATACACCCTGTCGTTTATTGAGCTAATCGCTTGTGAAGACGGTAAAGACAGTCTTTTAAGCCTTTCTCTTCGGATAATTTTAATTGACGTTGACCGATTACACTTGCTTCTAGAACCAAGATATGCATAACATGCATGCATATTGTACTTGTGAGGAGACTGAGCTCCCGGCATTGATTAAAGTTACAATTTCATATTTCCTAAGGGAGTCAAAACATAATTATTTCTATGTCTTTTCCTCAATAGGTTGTCAACTCACTATTATACGATCATAGGTGTCATTCTCACACTTAAAACTCATTTACACCGGAAATAATAACACAATTACATCCCAATTACCTCCCTTGTTTTCTATTCTCCACCATGGAGTAGCTATCTTCAAACGTTTGAATTTAATATGAAAATGATATTTTTGCCAATTCCTCAACTGGCAATAGTGAATTATAGGATTAATAGGATTATTCTTTAACAAGGTAGGACTGTTATAGATACCATCTATATTAGGGCTTTATTTTAATACATTTTAAAAATATAACTTAAAAATATGAATTTGGAATTGCAATCGAGTAGGGCAATATTGAAGATATAGTGTAGAAATATTGTCGTTGCGACATTGTTTTTAAATTTATAGACAAGGAATATAGAAAAATGATGGCATTATATTGTATTAATTAATATCTTTGGCAAATTATTAGATTCACACATATATATATGTACTTAAATCAAGTTAGCGAATGAGTGGCATATTGTTACATAAAAAAAGGGTTATAATTTGGTAAACATTGGCTGGTTCTGTGGGAAGAAGAATATCATGTATTACATGTGATAGGAAAAATACGATTGCATCATTTGCCTTGTTTAACCAATCTCTATATTTATTTACATCATATTTGACCAATTAGATAATTGAAGGTCCAAAACCCAAATCTACAAAACTATCACATTTGTGAGCAATCGCCAGACAGCAGACAGACTGTGGAAGGGAAAAGATGTAACAGTTTTTATCAGTACTACAATAGATGCGTCAATATTATAATATAACATGAACTGCAAAACATTGTATTATTTTGAAATTGGTAGAAAATCTTTCTTAAAACCATTTTGGATCCCCTGATAGACCCAACTCATTATTTATCAGTTATATCAAACAAATTAGATAATGCGTAAGTTCAGTACATGGACTAATTTTAACCCGAAAAATCTAAAACAAATTCTGGTTACCCCTATCCTAAAATGATCAATTGCAATATCAATTTTATAACGTGTAGTCTTATATTTATATGCTTAATAGATAGTAGGTGTTTCAAGGACCATCGACATTGCTTAGCATAACTCATAATTCACCGTGCCCAGTTCTCACGGTACCGCCCCCTCTCCCCCACCGCCCCCACAAGAACGAATTTCATTTATTACTACTACCTTGCTTGGTCATGCATTAATCATGTCTGTAATTTACCTATTTCAGATGTCGTTTTGATTATATAGATGTATTCAGTGTTGATAGAATGGGATACAGAACAAGACTCAACAGATTCTGTGGCAAAGAAATTCCACCTACTATTATATCTGTTCAACCCAGTCTAGAAATAGTATTTGTTTCAGATTATACTAAAATATCATCCGGATTTTCAGCACACTTTACATTTCTAGATGACAGTAAGTTTTTCTTCTTTGCATCATCGGTCAACCGTACTGTAGTCGGGCAATACGCACCGACAAACTAATGTATCTTAAACTAGAACATACGATATCACTTCTTATTCGAAGAGTTTCACATATCTAACAACGACTGGTGACTCCTCTGGTTTGTCTGCGATATAACGATTGCGGAAGCAGTTATCGTCAGGGAGAAAGGTAGACGACTCTTCAGGTGACTATATTGTTACCATATTGTAACGTACTTCAAGAAATACTAGTTCGAACAAACCGTTGTACACACATTACATAATACCCTTTTTATATCAAATAGTCCACACAGGAAATTGTCTGGTGCCATACGCGTGGGATATTAACAACGGCCAGTGAACTGACATGATCGAGAAATGATAAATGTAGAACGGAAATCAAACGGCAATTTAATACAAACCATTCTTTAAAAAGCTGCTACTCAATCGATTGTCAATCACCATAAGTGAGGACATCTGATATTGGCGGTACCTGTAAGTAGTTATATAACGGAAATGGGTACTCTTTTTGTTTCTATATGATCATCAAGAAGCACTAGACCAGCACATGGCCAGCAGAAGCACCGTATAAAAAAGCGTGTATCGTGTGCTATTTTATTAATTACTTTTTCATTCATATCCCGGATTTACTATTAAGTTAGAAGTTTAAAACTTGTAGCATTCGATGAAAAAAATAAATGAAATTGTTGAGAAGAAGAATGGTGAATATTAAAATAAAATTCATGCTGTGGGGATTTAAATATAATAGGAAGTTATTTCTTTCACCAGCCATTGTAAAATAATTGATTTGAAAAATATTTTACAGGTTGGCGACCATTTCGTCCGTCTACTGCTGGTTGCGGTGATGAAGTATTAGATTCTGGTGGTGGAGGGGTGATTACCTCTCCCGACTATCCGTCTCCCTTCCGTCGTGGATCTGAATGTACATGGTTAATAAAAGTACGAGAGGGACAACAAATTGTTGTCAATATTATAGCCCTTGATTTAGGTGTAACATGTAAGTATAGACACACATCTAAAACCTTTATCTAAGGCCTACTATTAAACCGCTAAAAATTCTTTACGGCCAATTACAATTACACCAAGTTATGCGGTAAATCGGCTCATAATTCACTAAAGATCGCAGGCTAGCGATGCCAGCTAGAGTTGATTATGGCCTAGAAAAATTAATTAATGTCTAATTAATAAGTTAGATAACATTTCAGGACTAAAGAAAGACCTGCAAAAGACAGATTTAGCTCTTCATAATGTATGTTTAAGCTAAATTCACTAAAATCGATTTTAACTCAATTTAAAATGGAATTTAAAATCTTCGCGTTTCAGAAAGATCGATTATAACTTAAAAATGAAATTTTAATAGATTTCAGTTAAAATAGCTTGCACATGCACAGTGCCGTTTTCTGGAAGTTTGCATACGGGTGTAAACAAATACGCTTCGGAAGTCAAAACTTCTGACCGGTTGAACTAACGGTTACAAAATCAACGGGGAGAGTTTCATACGTTATAGCAATGTTTGCACATGATCAAACAGATGTAAAGATATGAAATAAATTATTGGAATGAGTTTTTTGCGTTTTATTCGATTGGAAATATATCGTTGGGTTGGCCTTCAACTTGGCGCTTTCGTAACCTTGGCATTTGATTTATTCGCAGGCTCGTAATGTTATGGTGTTTTGGATTACAGGAACTATGGAGAATTGTCACCTACAAACGTAAGGCGCTGGCTCGCTAGCCTGGAGGTCGGGTGTTCGATCCTTGCATTGGCCGAGAAAGTTCATCTCGATTTTCCGGCGTGGTTTTCCCTTGTCAGTGATGCAGAACAGAGGGCCTGACAAGGACAGCTGCCTAGTCGTTCGGCTGGGACGAAAAACCGAGGACCCGTGTACACTTTGGCGTGCACGTAAAAGAACCTTTGGCAGTTGGAATTCGATATAAGAGTAGGCCGTAGCGCCGCTGCCCGGGCAAAATTTCCCTCATAGCACACTGTATGGCGTATGCCCGTCTTCAATTAGCCCAGGTTAGGTGCAGAAGAGTAGGACGTTAAACCCCATTTCATTTCATTTCATTTCACTTACAAACATATTTTATTTGAGGGCGTGTTTTTGGAATTTCATAAAACTCGGTTAATATTTTTAAAAGATGAATAAACTGAGCATAGCGGTGTAAAGTCCGACTCAAACGACGGCGTTTTATGAACTAATCTGGGCCGTAAATTATTGTCGAATCTTAAAAGTATTTATCAAATTTGAAACTAATTCGTCAAGATTTGAAATGTACCCTTTCAAGGATACTTCGAATATGCCAAATTGCCAAACTCCTTATTGGATAATGCCTATCTATCTTTATTATCGTAACGACTGTAGTAATGACAATGGAGGCTAGGCTATAATTGTATGGCATATATCTAGGCTCAGAGTGAAGTAATTTGACTAAAAGTTTCAGCATACTCTCTTTTCATTGTCTATTTTTTTAACTATTATAGCGATAACTGTGAGCTTTTTATCTAATCTTGCCTGACGTCGCTTTAAAGTGATTAAAATTGAATTTTAAATAGATCTAGACCAATAACATTTTTCAATAAACCGATTTGAACTCATTGATATATATTTTTTTACAAATAATCTTAACCCAACAACCACATATTAAGAGTGAATACTACTCATATTGCATGTCTTGTATTATAGGCCTTTACGCCTTTTAATACCCAGAAATTGGCCATTTTAGACCATTGTACACGAAGATATTTTTTTATATAAATAAGAGTGCTCGTCTTTCCACATTAGGTATGAAATGGGTTCAAATATCTTTTTATGAATGATTGTATGGTAAAATTATATGAGAGTATGTTCATTATTCCTAATAGATCTGTCTGTCACAATAATACTAACAACTAAGCCTCAATCGATGTTTGTTTTTTATGTCGTGGTCCTAAGTTAGGAGTAGGAAACGGTGCTGTCCTAAATTAAAATTAATTTTAGTTAATATTGTACCTAAAATAGTTTTGTGAAGGACATATATTTTAAGTTCCGATAAAATATTATTTTAGTGGATTCATTATAGATAAAAACTTAAAAAAAATCGTTTTGTGAAACTCACCTATCTTAAGTTAGGATGATATTTTCGTTTAAGGCTATTTTAAACATACATTATACAAGAGCTAAATCTGCCTATTGCAGGTCTTTCTTTGGGCCTGAAATGTTATCTAAATTATTAATTAGACATTTTAATTAACTTATGTAGACCATAATCAACTCTCGATGTCAACGCTAGCCTGCGATATTTACTGGATTACGATCAGATTTGCTGTTCAACTTTCATTCATGATTTAATCATGAACTGGATAATCGAGACTATGGTTTTTTTTATCGTAGCGACTTTAGTAATGATGATCGAGGCTTGGCCGAAAATTCGATCGCTAAAATCTCAGTTTAGATTGGATCAATTTGACTGAAATTTTTCCGCAAATTCCCTTTACATTATCTAGTTTTTAAATATTATAGTGAGAACTCTTTATCTAATCTCCCATAATGTATCTTTAAGGAGATGTAAGTTTTTGTGAAACCGACCCTGCAGAGATCTTTTAATGTTAACATCAGCTGTTGATGTTTTAATGTTAAAATCCGTTGCTGACGTTCTAACGGTGACATTTTTTAGGTAGAGCCTGTGTTCACTCGGAAACTGGTATTATATTTCTACTGTGCAGCATTTGTGCTTAGGGTGTCACCCATTATCGAAGTGCTGATTTCTTCGTAGAAGTCTTCGGTTCTGAATAATTCAGCATAGGATATTATCTATGAATAACAAGCCAACAGTGTGGCTGATGTCCCCCGCCGAAATCCCCAAATAAATAGATGACACATATTAAATTATTGCACATCTATTTTTTTTCAAAAGTATCGAGTAATCAAACTGATTATCAACTATACACTAAGTTTCATCACTCTCTATCAAATAGAATCAAAGTTATCTTGTCCCAAAGCATCGACCAAGGAAATTGCTTATCTCTGCTAAGCAAATGCTCATCTTCACACTCTATCAAGGCATTGACCTAATAAACACCTACACCAAGTTTGAACATTCTAGCTCAATTAGAAGGAGAGTTATTGTGTTCCAAAGTCTCGGCCAATCAAATTGCTTATCGCTCTGCTTATCCTGAGCAGAAACTTGATCAATATCGAACTTAGTCAAGGTTTTTTTTTTGTATAAACATATTTTATTCAAACAACATGAATAGGATTGGGTAACAGGCAGAGCCTATGTGAAAACCCTCTCAAGGTATTGATGTAATGAAACTATTCACCAAGTTTCATCACTCTTACTTATTGGAACTAAAGTTATCGTGTCCCAAAGCATCAACCAATCAAATTGCTTTTTTCTACTTACCCTAAGCAGAAAATGCTCAGACAGACAGCCAGGCAGACGGACAGACAGACGGGCGAACCCATTTTAATAGCCCCCTGCTTTCTTCGAAAGGCGGGGGACACTTAAATATAGGACATAAATGTAACTTATTATAAAAGAAACTTACATAGATGCATATGATGTATATAATTCGACAAAAAGAGATGAACACACAATTTGATTAGATAACCTGCAATTGAATTAACTCTGAAATAATGTCATTTTATATCCTTGCCTTTATCTATCATATTTTGACATTTAAGCCATATTTTTTTTTGTAGCCGAAACGTGTAAAGATTTCAAGTTATTGATATATAATGGATTTGCTACACCTGACATGCTACCAGAAATATCTCTATGTGGAGACTTAAAGTCTTATAGTCCTAGTAAAAGACATTTTCTATCTCATTCATCACGGGTTGTGATCAGGTAAGTCATTGTCATTTGCTGAGTTTATCATATGTGTTTTCCTGCATCAAAGTTATTATGCTTGCAAAGCTATTATCTTTTTCATCACGGGTTGTGATCAGGTAAATCATTGTCATTTGCTGAGTATATCATATCCATCTGTTTTAAAACACACAATTAAAATCTTAGCTATGTGTTTTCCTACATCAAAGTTATTATGCTTGCCTTGCAAAGCTTCAAGTTTCTGGTTAACATCAATTTTGTGCCTGCAAAAATAAATATCCAAAGTGGTAAAAGGCACTGATAATGCTTTTAAGAACCTGCTGTGACATGTTCGTGTGGTATCTCCGTGTTTACCAGCACTTGCGTTTCCCGAATTATAAGCATGAAGTCAAAGTTCATAAACGGGGTCGAAGTGCATTAATCAATAAACGAGTTACTCAATATTTTTATGATGCCAAATACCCAGAAACGTTATCGATTTCAAGAGGTTGTAGCGATTTTGTTTTAGAGAACTTTTATATAATTCCATTTAAATTTAGATGCATTAGAACATGATGTAGATAGTCGACAATTACAATAAAGTTATTTTATGTCACACTGGGCCAGTGCCGGATTAACCATTAGGCAAATAAAGTAAAACAAGTTGTAATCTAGCTACCGTATTCTTACAGAACTGCCAAAAAGAAATGGTTCTGTTTTTGTATTTGTAATAAATTTTCCGGGCAGATAATTAATTGGTAAAATCTCCAAATACCATGGCTTTTCTACAACGTTTCTGCTCTCGATTCATTTTAATAAGGACAGCATAAATGTCATTTCTCCGTTGGTCCATATTTCAGAATTTGAAACTCTTTGTAAAAATGTTTCAAAATGTATTCCAGATTTGTAACAAGTGAAACGGATGTTGATCATGGAATTGGTTTTAAGTTGAGTTGGGCGGCCGTACTGATGCCTGAAGATGGTAAGATAAATACTGTACATGTTGTTTAGCCTGCAATGACCTTTTGGACCAGAACATTTTATAAATGAGTAAAACCGTAGTAAATTTGAATGTGATAGCCTTATGTTTGAAAGTTTTATCCACACAAGATTGAGAGTAACTAGTTTTAAATTTGTTATATTTTTAGGACCATGTGGTCAGTTTATATGTGCTGGTGGTCAAATGTGTATAGATGATATTTTGTGCGAACCATCTCCTAAATATTGTATTCACAAATCATTACGATGCGATGGTGTCCCGAACTGTGGGCCATTTGATGACAGTGATGAAAGAAAGTGTGAGTATCAGAATAATAATTGAAACATATTTTGATAATTTATTATGTCATAGAATCCTGTCAATGATGTTATACACCATTCAGAGTTTGCTTTTTATGGACTTCGCGGGCAATGTAACTGCTTTGGTCCTATTTTTCTTTGCCAGGAAACCCATCTTTACAAAACTTCGGACTCTTGCCGAAGTCATCTTTATGACAAACAACAACACTTAACATGTTCACTAAAAGATTCTCATTTTCATGAGATAGACTGCAAAAGTGGATTTCGTATATCTCAAGATAAGAATATTGCGTGCATGTAAAACTTTAGAACATGCAATCATTGGGATATTTCAAATAATATTTATATAATAAAGAATATATTTTCTGCTTTCAGGTCCAAGAGAAATTATAATAATGACGGCGTCTATTGCTATACCTAGCTTGTGTGTTATTCTGCTAGTTGTGTTAGTTATATACTGTTATCGTAGAAAACGTGTGAAAAAATCAACATCTCAGGAACAACCTTTAACAACTAGTCAAAGACAAATATCTCGTGACTCCATGGCGCCCCGTGGTGGTCAGTTAGTGATGCATACAAGTTTTATAGACACTAAACCCATGGATGAATCCGAACCGGAAATAGATCCCGATTCTCTCCCCTTGCCGTATCCACCACCGGATTTGGATCAAACGCCGTGTATTCCTCCAAGCCCGACTATGCCACCAAGCCCGCCTATACCACCACCCCCGCCTCCGTGTATTCCTGTTGACAATGGCTTTATGCCGAAAGAACCGAAAACGAAATCTAGTTTAAAGAGAGATTCATATACATTTTCGCCACCTAAACAGTTAACTTATGAAGAGGGGAATATGATCATAGCTGAAATATGAATATGTGGTATTCTATGTGAAATTTTTGCACGCGGAAAAGAACCATGGGCTTACATTTAAACTACTATGTAACAGACGACCCCGTGCTCTAGACGTGAATCATTGATGTAAAACAATTGATTTTTAAACACTATCGACTTAACAGTTACAATAGCCATTCTGTGACCTCCATTTAAAATCATATTTTAAGTGATCACAATTCAATATCAAAATGGAATGGATTCATGTATCATTATAATGATACTATTCGTGTTATATACTTCGTTCGTTAAGCAAGTTAGACAATCTTTGTTGGTTATTCTATATTCATAATATAATTTTGATTATGGGCATTACATTTTTAGATTACAATTTAAAGTTTGTGTGTTAAGGCCCCCTAAGCTGATTTGGTTAGATAGAATGGTGTTATTTTTAAATATTTACATGTAATATGTGGGTGTGTTCCGACCAAAAAAAAATCGCGTTTTCAATATACAGAATAACTCTCTTGGTGCGGAGCAAAGCCTGGATGTTCTCGGTGTGAAGATTGTCAAATTCGAAGCACTAACAGTAAAGCCCAACATTAGGTTTTCGGTTTGAAGAATAGCGGCCTGTACTTTGATGAAAAGAAAAAATTCTCGTTTTTAATAAACATAACTGTGAAGGATAACCTCGACATTCTAGGTGTGAAGGATAACCTCGACGGTCTAGGTGTGAAGGATAACCTCGACGTCCTCAGGGTGAAGGATAACCTCGACGTTCTCAGTGTGAAGGATAACCTCGACGTTCTCTGTGTGAAGGATAACCTCGACGTTGTCGGTGTGAAGAATATCATGATCGACGTTTAGAAAATATTCCACGATAGGGTTCTTGTCGTCAAACCTAACGTTGTTGGAGAGAGAAAATGACCATCAGATGTCACCATCATCGGTCAGTCCCCTGCGATAAATGGGAGAAGAGTCGCGGCTCAACAAAAATGAAATTTTCTTATTGTAAAAATAATAATATACAACCATCGAATAATTGTTGTTTATTATTGTTTATATTCGTTATGTTTTATTCTTATTTACGATACCTGTATATTTTAAATCTCAAAGAAATGTTTTGACTATGATACTGTTTTGGAAGGCAATAGAAAATAGGCAAACAATAGAAAAGACAATGGGTGCTTTGAATTATTCAAAGTTTCCAAAAATGTTAGGGGAATAGAAGGTTGTTTTCTTTAAAATTGGTCAAATGTGTTGTCACATTTGCGTTGTAAGTGACGTTAAAAATTTAATACTATTTTTGTAAAAACACTATTTTCTTCTAGTCGAAATTGAAAGGAATTTTCACAACCAATTACAATAATCCGAATTTGTGTCGTTTTGTGAGAATGTGAAAGATACCGAAAGGAATAATTAATCAGTGAGTGAAAGGGGCGTTTTTGTGATTATTGCCACATGCTCTACTTGTTTAGTCGGATCAGGGCAATATCTGAACGTTCATGATAACCAATTGTCAATTCCGTTCAAAAAGTTTGTTTTTTTATGATTGGTAACTATTATGACATTTATATCAATAAATAATGTCTTCGGGTAGCATCAAGGCTAGCTCAGACGCCTTTATTCAGACAATGTCTGCCACAAACAATATTCATACATAAACTCTATTGAAACTTATTATGCCGAAAGGCTACCATATTGAATATAACAAAATTTGTCTAGCGTCAACTAATGACATGCTGTTTTGACATTGGTCTTTATTACATCAACAAAACAATTTTATTGCGTAGAAAACAATAGAATAATTGTGTGGTTCTTTACTAAATGATATTGCATGAACTGCCTTAATGAATACAGGCTCATGGTTTGCCACTACCCGGGCAGTATCCAATTGATGAATATGTTTTAAGTATGAGAAAATTATGGTAAAGTTGGTATCTGTTTAATTATACTATTTTCGTTACATGCCATAATGGTATTTTGCGAAAGTTATTAAAATTGGAAACTGGATGTCAATTATTTCTACAATTATAGATACTCTAATTTGCGCATGTGCGTGGTGTTCTAGGAACCGCCTTTTCTAAAATGAAAATCTCGGATTGACGAAACCTATATATAACAAGAAGTTTATGACATGCTGAGAATTGTTAGAGATAATATTATTGGCATCGATGACTTCCGTCTGCTTTACGTCGAATTTATTGAACATTTTAAAATTGTCTTAGTCTTTAATAAAACATATGATAAATTGTATTATGTTAGTGGTATGATTGACGTCGTGTAATTGAATATTAAGAAGGATATATATACATTACACTATAAAAATATCGTTTTTAATTGAAAATTTATTCAAACAGCGGTCATCGTATGTTGAACTTACAACCCAGCTTAACTCTTAATGACGGGCGTCATGGTTTCGTGTACAATTATTGGCAGTTGAAATTCGAAGAACAATGTGACGGAAACGCCGCTGTTGGGGCAAAATGTCTGCCCTGGCACATTGTATATATAACCATAGATTCATAATGGGCATGGATAAAGGTGGAATTGAAAACTCCATCACGTTAATTCATTAAAAACTGGACTGTAGGCCCATTGGCATACAGCTTTATCAACAACTGAATTATCTGTGTTAATCAGAAACGAAGACGGATTTATTTTCGTTAAATATCTTATCTAAAACATGTGTGGGGTGGGGGTGAGGGGTCTTCATTCAAATCAATCAGCCATTTGTTTAATTAAACCTCAGCGCTGCAGCCGCTAATGCAGCTTATCGAATTGTAGTCAGTAGTTAAAGTGAGTTGAACGGTTGACTTGTGCACGACTTAAATTGACATTGTACTCGTGATAAATTTTCTAGTGATGTTTGTATTATTGACACGTTTGTTTTTTAATGATCATTGGTCATTCACTATAATAGATGTTTTAAATGTATTATTATGTCATTGACATTGTCCAAAAGTTTATGTATGTTAAATATTCGTTTAAATAAAAGATCATTTTGCATGAATATTGGTTGTTTTTGCAGCAGTATATCTTTCTAGTTTAACCCACGGGCTGCGTACTATGTCTAAAGTCTATAACGTTCAGGGAAGCCGCGGTGGTTCAGTAAGCAAGACGCTGCTTCATTTGTCATGTGTTCCGGGGTTCGATCCCGCTGTTGGTCAAGAAAGTTATATCGAATTGCCAATTGTCAAAGGCGCTTTTACTTGCATGCCAACGTTAGACGGATCATCGGTTTTTCGTCCCATTGACAAAGGAAAAAAACATGCTGGAAAATCCCGGGGAACTTTCTCGATCCCCAGATCTCCTAGGTAGTGGTCCATCGCCTTGCTCACTGGACCACCGTTCTCCCAATATTTGATGTATTGTATCTGTATACATTGCCCGGGTTCAGACTATAGATTTCGAAGTAGTAAATAAGGCAACTTCAAAATCGTAACGATTTACTGACCAAACAATCGACCGATTAAACATGGTCTTAAGCTACACGAATGTATTATTAAAGGGAGTTAACTTGAATATTGGAAAGGGGACAAAACAACAATGTATCCTATGTGTACCCCAATCCAGCATTTATATCTTTATATTTGCCGAAAGTTGGGACATTTAATTATTTCAATTGTTGCTTTCTAACCGATTTTGTTTCAGATCACTAAGAACATCAATTTTATTAAAAATTTAAAATTGTGGTGCGTAGTGATATGAAGTAAATCACTCAATATACTATATTATACCTAGATTAAATACAATCGATTGCATCACATTTATCACAGTCATTAAAACTGTTTTTATAAATATATAGAAACATCACACAATAGGGCAGAAAGATAAACTCATACAGCACGGTCAACATTGTATTTACAAATCACAGACTGTGTCCAAAACATCCTTGTGCCAGTTTGACTTAACACTGTAAGCAAAATTGTGTTCATTGTTTGGACATTTCTTGTAAAATGGGTACTAAGTGTATAGTTGCTACTTTCGTTTAGAAAGAGGCGCTACCGGTTACGTTCGTTTAGAGAGGGGTGCTACTGGCTACTTTCGTTTAGAAAGGGGCGCTACTGATTTCGTTTTTCCATCTTCTGAAATAAGTTTCGGTTTGTGATGATTCCAGCCATGTTGAAGATCGCCAATTTCATCATCAGTAAGTCTGCTATATGGTCGTATAGTACTTGTAAACATCACATTCTTATTGTCCTCGCATTCCTCCCACACATTTTGCTTTCTTTTAACCCGGAGCGTGAACGCGTCGATGGTAGTATGCCTAACTGGGGTTTTGCAACGGGATTTCAATTGTCTCATATATCCAGGTTTCTCAAGTTCCTCAATCGGTAAGCCCGGGTCAGTTATACTGTCTTTAGCACTGTTGGACTTGTAACCACCAGATGGCGGTCTTTCCACGAGAATCATCGGTTCATAGTTTAACGCATGACTTTTACGCACAAAATGTTCCCTCATTTGATTAACCTGAGATTTCATCCGTTTCATTTCTCCTTTGATTTTGTTTAATTTGGAGTCCAGTACCGGATCATCTTTTGTATTTGTGTTTAACAAACATTCCCCGAATTTTGATTCTTTTGGGTGTTTAGCTGTAAGAATGGCCTTCTCCATTTCTCTGCTTGATTGCCGAGGTATTCCCAGTGCATCCCTTAATCCACGGTTCATTTTATGTGTTACTGGAATAAAAATAACAAAAACAACGCACTTTAATTTTTATAAATTATAATCAGTTTGGGCTCTTCAAAAGACAATACATTTGCCACTTAAATCGGATACATGCTGATTTCTTAGGCTAAAATAACATTGGGCCTATATCCCGATGTGCGATATCAGAAAATTGTGTAATCTAAAAATCAAAATAGGCAGTTCCGGGTTTAGACGTTTATGTAGGTAGGAAATCTATTAAATATCAATTTGTAAAGAAATGGTCTATTTTCCGTGTCCAAAAGATCCATCTAAAATATTGTGATTTCGGAAATGCTTGCTCAAAATACTGAACTTAAGGTTGCTAACCGTCATTTGCTTAATTGGGTCTCCTGTTGAACGCTAGTTACCGTTCTTAGTCTCTATCATCCAGAAAAATATTCTACAAATTAGTCTGGATATGTTGTCAACATTTGAGAATAATAGGTCATTGGCTAGATCATCCGGTCTTTTACATTATCATAAACAAAATCTAAGGGAGGTGATTAGTCCAAGATGTTGACACCCATGAAATTAATTCAAGAATGCCATTTCAAAAAATCCATTTGATTGCATGCCATTTCAATATCCAAAACTCTTATTTTTTTATTGTAAAATTTCTCTCTTCATCGGCCATGTCTATGTTATTTTTTTAAATTAATCCTAATTCGTCGTACGCGATTCATGTTTGTTTATATCAATGCAAGAATTATGTGATTTATTGCTGGAAGGGGTGCAATTCTTACTTGACTTGGCCAAAAGATACTTGAAAATCAACCACATTAAAAACCGAACTACCGGCTACGCATGGGCAATGGACTGTTCGTCAAAATATTGACTAGGAGGTTCTGGGTAACCGAGACTATACATTTATTAGCTTGTCTGAACAACAGAGCTTCGCATTGTTGTTGAATGGAGCTAGCATAAAGTAAAATGGGGTTTAACGTCCTATATATTGTATTGGACGTTAAATTTGTATTAAACAACGGAGTGCTACGGTTCTGCTCAGACTAGACTAATGAAGATGGGCTCCCGACTAGTATAAAGGTTTCTAAGTACTTACACGCTTATATATATAATTACTTAGTTCCATTCACTAAAATATATCTGGGGCGGATCCTTTAAGAAAGTTATGTTATACAATTTCGTGTTGATTTCTCAGTGGGTCAAGGATATAGTTAATTAAATGACTTTTTCCATGATGTATTCAGAAAAAAAGCAAAATTTGAGAGAAAAAAAATAATTGCTAATTACATATATATTTAAACAGGTCTGTAAAAAAACCTAATTTAAGTTTATCACCAACGATCATACCACCTATATAGTGTACAAGTATATATTTCACAAAATACTCGCCATCTTAAATACTAGCTTACCGACATAAAATAATATATAATGTATGTACCTTTAGACAATTAAACAACAATTACAGACGTTCAAGATTCTATCGTTCTTGAATAGTAACACCACTGAAACACGCCGTTACTACAAGTACACAAATCTCGACCAACATAAAATCACGTAGTAGGTTCACAATATACGATGTACACACATTCACTATACAAATATGCCATTTGAGAAATAAGAGGCTATTTGCATGGTCCGCTACTATGGGTGCATACTGTTTATTTTTCTTCCATAGAAACGAATATTCCAAATCATGTTTTACGATTAAGAATAAATTCAGTAATATAAAAATTATGTCCCATCGTATGGTTTGTCTTGGAATTGCTATAAAGAGTACCAAAAGACGGGAACATAATTACCACCCTTGACATCTAGTATAATAGTCCTACTCGTGGCCTAATTGCCTTTTGACGTTATATTACGGGATCGTCTAACAGAATGTATAGGTACAAAAATATAAATTGCATTTTTATTACTCTACAAACAAATCTTTAAAACAAATAGTGGTACTTACAGAGCACATAAAGTAAATGCATAGAAAATTGTGTGCTTTAATGTCTTGTAGTGGTTTGGCAATCTGAACAACAGACCCATCTTACTTGCAGCTACCATTTATTGAGTTTTCGAACGGTGGTTACATACTGTGTTTTGATATACCAAAACAAAGTATATTGATGACTAATTGAGAGATATTCGCTCACAGTAGACAATATAGACTTATCTCCCAAAACAAAAACAGAATAAATGTTTTTTTTTAAAGTGTGTAATACTCGACACCAATATACTAGCCAGTAATAATAAGGTGTACTCGTTTATGAATGTCTCGTGCTTAATCCACAGATATATAACAGAATATAACAATTAAGATCATTTATTTTATATGGCGTCAGGCTGTTAAGAATGTGTTATAAATGTGTCATAACATTTGAGAAAATCTGCGATATCACCTTTGGTGGAAGCGAACGTTTTTTAACCACCACGAACGAATGGTGAAACACTTGATACAGCTTTGACATTGGTAAATCAGTTATATGGCACCTTTTCTTTACAAGTTAAAATGTATACACACATATAAATATTGTCTTTTAGGGGCCCGGAAGGGATCGTGTTGCTCATGCAAAATCATGGGTCACCACGCCCCTGATACACAAGCTATTTGTTTTACATTCGCTCTAATATGGTTTCCAATCACAACGTTATAATTTAGATCAACACAAAAAGAGAATGGTCGGTTATTGTCAAACATTAGTAACCTCTGTAATTGTTCTATTTACAACTTTACACCTTCTCTGTACAATTTATTGTAACTGTTACTGAGAATAAAATAATTAGCACCTAACTATTCAGAGGACTGAGATTGTTGATTTGGTAATCAAGCTTTGGTTGCATGTCATCTATGAAACCGCCACAGCCGTAAATGAGAGAGAGAAATGGCGTTTAACGTTCACTCGACACAAACTAGGTCATTTCGGGACTAACATATGGTTTAATTTTATTTCAATAATTCGCTTGAGCGTAGGGGTCTTTAGCAGTGGGAGGAAACCGGAGGACCCGGAGAAAACCCACGAGGTTGAACAGTAGACTCTACTCGGGGATTCGAAACTACGCCAGTTGACGAAATGACAGACCTTATGATACAGCGCGCACGTGCTAACCATTCTGCCATTCCCCCTCCCCAGCTGTAAAAGTTTTCTGTCGTCGTACGACTAGATTACAATAAGTTTTATCTGACAATAATTAGCATTCCAAAAAGAACTCATTGGTGCCACATTTGATTCATCGTTAAATACTTTATACATGCTTGGATTAAGAAACGATTAGTCTATGGAGCTGAGCCAAAATGTATAGCAAATGCCGCTATGACCATCTCTTCGGATGTTACTATAACTGTAATCGAATAAATTGAAATATGTTTTTGAGCATTCGACACGCAAACGGTCATATATCGGATAATTTAAATCACGGTTGCCTGGAATTGGCGAATAGTGTATTGTGATCAAAATGGCTCCGTGCACATGGACGATTAAGTTGTCGTTTTGTTAGCGTGACAATCAGGTTGGCTATCGATAACCAAACATTAGAGTAACATAGAATTGTAAACCTTTTAAAATTGTGTAATTCAATATATTTGATGTACATTTATTAAATGATTCGTGTAACTTACCTGCTAAGAAAAATGTACACGTTGAATTATCAATAAATAAGTAACAAAGACCAGACTTAACAACATGGCCTTATGTTATTTATTGATTCGAATACTCATTAAGCGTTCAATGCATTGAATTAATTCAAACAGTAAAAATATAGTAAACTATTAAAACCAATTTAACCTACCTCGACTCTAGGAGACGAATGTTTCCTTACTTTTGTATATCTATATATACCCATGTAATATATTCTATATCAATCATTCGGATCTACCTGTTGATCAGTACACGTGACACGGCAAGCTTACATTGGATGTATATCGTTATAACATCTATGTAAAGTATATAATCACTGCCTTCAAATTCTTGACAAGGTCAGCAAACATAATAGACAATATAGATCTATTCTTCGGGTATGCGTATTGGTCACGCCTCAAAGATCATTTAATGAACAGTTACCATCTTCGTCAACCATTATCTTAGTGAATTTCTTATTTCAACCGTTAAAAAGATTCCAAAGATTATAATATCACTTTATTGTTCTGATCATCTGATCAAAGGTTTTAATTTACTCAATACGGAGTAACACACAATACCTGGATTTTCTCATTTGAAAGAGGAATACCCTTTCAGATTTATGATAAAGGCGATAACAATTCTTTAAAGTATCTATCGATCACTGACATATTAATACTTCAAATAGTTTGCTTTCAAAAGTTTATTGTCGAATGAAGTCGAAATTCATTTATATAAGATAAATCGTGTAGTATGTGACAAATTTATTCATCCGATAAATGAAAATCACTCACACCACTATTCAATTATAAGTAACCATTTACCTCCTATAAAATTAGCAGAACAGTACGACGTTAAACCCCATTTCATTTGATTTCATTTCATTTCCTATTAAATTGTTAGTATTCGATTCCGGAAAAATCGCCACTGGATTTGTAATCTTGTTTTCTGCCACTTATAATGTCTTTTTGAAACCGGGGATCACGTGGCTAAGTGGGTAAGACGCTAGCTTGCTAGCCTGGAGGTCGGGTGTTCGATCCCTGCATTGGCCGAGAAAGTTCATCCAGATTTTCCGGCGTTGTTTCCCCCTTGTCAGTGATGCAGGACGGAGGGCCTGACAAGGAAAGCTGTCTAGTCGTTCGGATGGGACGAACAACCGAGGTCCCGTGTACACATTGGCGTGCACGTAAAAGATCCCTTGGCAGTTGGAATTCGATATAAGAGTAGGCCGTAGTGCCTCATAGCATTCTGTATGGCGTATGCCCGTCTTCATTAGCCCAGGTTAGGAGCAGAACAGTAGGACGTTAAACTCAATTTCATTTCATTTCATTTCTTTTTGAAACGCCCCTTTTATCAGAAAGGTTTAAATAACAATACCCACCACGAATTTTACTGGACGTGCTTGTGAAACATAATGCAGCTGAAATGTGATTTTCGGATGTATGGCGCATTCTCGGAGTTCAAGTGCCTTCCACTTCATAACCCATTTCAGCAGCATAAAATCGCGAGTATTACCATTCTGTCGAATTCATTTTTTGTGTTTCAGAGAATTGATCTGTGGTGCATTTCACATGTTATCGTCAGTTGCTGCTTTTACATGTATGTAAGGTTAATGTATCTCTCAGTCTCAAACGTGATTTTCAACCACCTTTATTACGTAATCGGCATTTTAGGGCTCAAGAACTTGTCTTTAAAAAAGAAGGGCATCCGTTAACGTGCAGAGGCGACCATGCTACCATCCGTCGAAATATATCTATTTGAAGGTTTAAATCTACAGCGATCTGAAAGCATATCATATACAAATGTATAATCAATTAAGAATGAAACCTAAATATTATCACCAATGACCTACATTTTTTTTTTGGGTGTATTTTTATAGCCACCAAACTATATTTGTGTTACTGTGTTAAAGAATATTGTACTTGTAATTAATTTTGGTGTGAAACAAACTGCAACGAAAGAAAAACTGTCTGTCATCACATACGTGAGTTATAATTAGCAATCAAATAAAGTGTTTTAATGAATGAAAAAAACACCGTTTAACGTTCTACTTTTCTGAGCCAACCGGGATAATGAAGACGGGCATACGTCTTATAGTGTGCGATGGATAAAAGATTTGCCCGGATAGCGATAGTTATACATGTACACTGAATTTGAAACTTTAAAACTCAACCAATGAACAAACAGTATTCTCTTGGATTAACTTTAATTAGTTCGTGAGCCTACGGATAATGGAAGTGACTTCCGCAAAAGAAATTTAACGGACCATTAACAAACGACACGTTAGCAAAATAACGATCCGTTAGAGTTTAACGGATCGTTAAAATAAAAGAGTTTTGAGCAACCGGTCCTGGACTATAGTTTCGTGTTAATTACAAAGGTCGACCTTTTCGGGCATCAAGTTATATGCCGTCAGTCTAAACCATGCTGTTGGTCAAGAAGAAACCCTTCAACAAACACTGAATGTTCCAGAGAGGGGGGTGAGTCGACCCACGGTCGGTTTTACGCGAAAAATATTTTTTTATTCAACTGACTCTGACGTCATAATCACTATGACGTCATAGTCTATTATCTTTGTTGGTTTTGCCGAAGAAAGACGAATTTTGCTGTATTTCTATAGAAAACCATCCATAATCTTCATTATAGTGTTATATTAAGACTTATATTTAAACAAGATGAGTTTTATTCGAGCTGTAAGTATTTTAGTGCCAGTTTTGGTAATATATTTTATGTTCTTACTCCGAAAGGTTAATGTCACTTTCAAACAAATGGGTCGAATTATATTTTTTGAGTTTGAATAACATTAACATCTTGATTTTAAGCTAGAAATTTGACATTTTTTTGTTTTAAGCAAGGAATTTTATATTTTCTCTTATAGGTAAGGGATTTATTTACAAGCTGTTTTGGTGTAAAAGGAAGACCAAACAGGGTTGCACCAGTCAACAAGATTTTAGTTCAACCTGCAGCTAATCCGGTTTTTAACAGAAACATCCTTAGATTACAGAACTATGAAACTTACGTCCCTACAGGTAAGTTGGAATAGAATAAGTAATACGTATTTCTAGGCTTTCTTATACGAGTATAATCATTTCAATTTGGAAGAGAGAGAGAGAGAGAGAGGGAGAGGAGAGAGTAACGCCCACTCAATACAAACTGTTATTTCAGGACTAACATATGGTATATTAGGCCGTGGGAGAACCTGAGGAAACCCACGGTGTTAGGCAAGCGACGTTACTCCTTGTCACTTACAAACTTAGGATCGGAACAACGCCACTTGACCCATTGATAGCACTTATGATCTAAAGCGCACGCGTTAGACCATTCGGTCACTTAATCTATCTTCTAATTTGGAATAGACTTATCCAGTAACACTTTATAAAAACATTTTTCAGTGTTTCCCGTTCTGCCTATTCAGAGACGAGCTGACAAATTCAAACCTAGACAAGTTGAATCTACACCAACTTTATCACCCCGTCCAGCTTACGAAGAAACAGCCCCGCGATTACTTCGTTCAATGCACACAAAGTTAAGCAACTAAAATAAGTGTTTAAAATGTCCTTAGAGCCATTGGAAATGTCTCTGGGATTCGGTGACTCATCTTTTAAAAAACGACCAAAAGAGGCGAGAGCACCAAGAAGACTATAGTGTCGAAATATGCCTTTTTGAAAAGAAAAGATACGAATCTGAATGCAGTATATCTTAAGTATTAATTATTCTTCTCTTCCGGTCAGATGAATCAGAGAGCCAGTAAAAATGAAATCATAATGAAAAGATAATAACAATAAGGAAATGACCTGGTATAGATATCTAAGCTGCCGTTCCGAGTCCTTGTAGCGAGATATTTCTGGTTGTTTTTGCCTGTACTAGATCAAATTAACTTGTGTTTAGTACTTACGTGATGCAAATAGAAAAAAGGATTAGAGAAATAAAAACTATGTTCGATTAACAACAATGGTTATGTCGAATCTCTACTAGCAGCTCCGCCAACCTTCCAAGTCATCGTGCATTTTTCCCATAACATTTTAAAGCAGGTTATATGTTGTTTCTGGATTTGTGGTTTCTAGATTTGCTTAACCAGCTTAGTTGTGATGATGTTGTTTCTGGACTTTCGTAAGCAGCTTAGATGTGATAAATAAGCATTGATGTAGTGCGTCTCATTCATTTTTTGACAGTGGGGACGGCTCTCCCTAACTATTTCTAGTATATTCAAATTACAATACTATAATGTAGTTGTATGTGTAATTTCCATCCCTAATAGAAATATGAGAAAGACTGAATAACTGTTTCAATTCCGTTTGCTATAACTGGGATAATGCCTCACTTAACTATGATGATGTACATGTAGAGTGCTATATAGCGTATACACTTTGAGGTATTGTGGCTTAATTCCCAAAACTAATAGCCATTCCGTTTCTTATAGGCTGCCCCCCCCCCCCCGTCTAAGTATCTGCTGTAACGTGTGAATCAATAAAAAGAAATTAAATAATAGCCACCCACTTTCCTATAGACAGCTCCCTCTGTTCTTCGTCTCTCCCTTTTTAAGTACTGCACACTGTAAGCTAGTGTAGATTGTTTGTATAAGTATCTTCTGTAAAGTTATAAATACAGATGGTGTTATAAATACAATTAAAATACAGATGTGACATCATCCTTTGATGTTGGCCTACCATTATTTGAAATAATGGTACGGGCAATGTGCCAAGCGTACATTATTTATACAAGTTGAAATATTGGACCCGCGTGACGTATTTCATTGAAATGCACGTGCTGGATAGTGTCTGTATTTTAATTTGTTTAATGGTCTCGTGCAATATCAATACTTAATGTCTCGCACTCGACCATTAAACTACACATAATAGCCACCCCGTTTCTTATAACCCACCTCCTCGGTTCCGCCCTTTTTAAGCACTGCACCACTGTAAACAAGTCTAGATTGTATTGTCAAAGTATCCTCTGTAAAGTGTTAATTAGTTTTTTTAAAATGTTATAGATAAAATAATAGCCCCACCCCACCCAATTTCTCTGTTCCTCGCCTTTTTAAAGCAATACACCACTGTAAAAATGTGTAGATTCTATTGTCTAAGTTTCTGTTGCAAAGTGGGAATATAACTAAATAATTGTTGATTTATCTGTTCAGCAATTTTAGGAATTTAGGAAAAGAGAATGAAGCTCTGCTTACCCAATTAATATACATGTGTATTTTATCTAACTAGACTACTTCTTCGTCTACTAGTGTTTTAACGTCCGATTTCGCCGGTAGTGATATCGCAGACAAGCTGTCTTATTTTATTATGCTTAGCGCACGTGCGGGGGTCTTTCCTGTGGGAGGAAACCGGAGAACCTGGAAGAAACAAACGAGGCTGAGAAGGCGCTCCTTTCTCCAAACCACATACGCTCACTGCTCACACCAGGGATCGAAACCCCGACCGTAAGCCAGAGGTGACCGGCCAGCTAGACCACCCCAACCCCCCTAATACCAACACCTTTTTTAAAAATATATATATAAGACGAGGGTGTCGCAAATAATACGCCGACCACCAGCTTTCGTATCTACTTCCTTTATACGAACAATAATAGGCCTACCAAGAGCACCGTTATGGTTGGCCTACCGGATAGACTTCCCAAATATTCGAAGAGAGCGTCGCAGTATAATAGGGTCTATGGTATAGTCGTCGGTAGATCAGGGTTGAACTTACGAGAAGTATAGAGGTGCCGGATTGGAAACTACGTTCGGGATTTTACAAGCCCAACCTCCAGTTCAGCCATGTTCGTTCGAATTCACAACTTTTACTGATGTAGGCTATGCAAATTATTAACAGACACCTGTTTGATTACACCTGTACAAAGAATATGGAAAATGAAATCTGGGTCAGCGAACCAGTATCCGGTGGAACACTATGGTGGGTCGACAGCCAACATGAACCATGGAAGACTATTCTATGTCACAGCTGCACTGCAATATGTTGTACTTCCAGGCCAGGTAGTGGTGGTGGGCGGGCGGAGGGGGTCCTTAGCCAGAAAGTTACGGTCCAATATCGAAATTTGCACTCAACCGTAATTGTGATATATTTGAACGTTTTTACAAAGGTCGACAAACTGAAACTGTATATATATAGGAAGTGACGGTCCTATATGCGTCAATATCGAAAGGAACCGAGATCTTTCGGTCTTAAACATATATTGTCATGCAGATTGATCCGGGTGATCCCCCAAAAATATAGAACCCATAAAAATTTTATAAAGTCCTACAAAATTTGCTGGACTTAACTTCAGCCTGTGTACGACCATTCCCCGAAGTTCCAGTTATCTTGGTCGCTTTGCATAAAAGTCATGTTCTTTAAGTTGGTAAAATTAGAATTTTTTATTTAACTTTAACGTCATTTGTCTATACGGTTATATTGGGCATGTCCAAATTAGATTTCAAGCAAATTTTAAGACAAAAGTGCCATCACTTACATAAACATGATAAACCTTGCAATTTACATTTAGTCGTTTTAAACGAGTTTAATAAACGATCGTAAAAAATTCCATTTAACTTGAATGTTTGATAAGACCCTCCCTAGGGTTATTTGGAAAAGAGTATTCAAAACTAATTATATTCTTATATTGGTGATGTACTATAACCTTTGTTCATTGAGTTGTTGGTCTGTGTATTCTTAGTGGTGACAAACAATGAAAGGATTGGGATTAAATTTTTCACTCTGCTGCATCAATGCCATAATGAGTTACTGACTAATCTTCATCAAATTCCAACTGTCAAGGGTTCTTTTTCCTCCAAACCAAAGAATACATAGGTGGGCCTCGTTTTTTGTTTTAACCCTAAGAACTACATATTTTTTCCTTACCATGCCATCCATTTTGCTATGAAATGAAGTAATGAGTGGTAGACAAATATATATATGTAATTATTTAGTCTAAAGTTTGTTTTTGTTTTGTTTTTTTGAAACAGTATATATATGATATCTGAGAAGAAGTACTGATTCAACTATATATATCTGTTTACATTGATAAGTATTAGTGACTTACTAAGCTAAGGGTAGGTCATAAAGTAGGTTTAAAGGTTGGGTTTAAAAGTTGTATCTTAAAGTGGGTTTTAAAGGCTAGGTCTTAAAGTGAGTTAGAGGCTTTGTCTTAAAGTGGATTCAGAGGTGTTTGTCATAAAGTGGGTGAAGAGGTTGAGATAGTTGTCAATAGAGTTTACTGTTAAAATTTCTAAATCAATAAAGTGTATTTAACAAAGATAAAGATTAAATAAATATTAATGATGAAATGAAATGAAATGGGGTTTAATGTCCTACTGCTCCGAACTGGGCTAATGAAGAAGGGCATACGCCTTTCAGCAGCACTGCGGCCTACTCTTATATCGAATTCCAACTGTCAAGGGATCTTTTACTTGCACGCCAATGTGTACATTGGCTTTTTGTCCCATCCGAACGACTAGATAGCTGTCCTTGTTAGGCCCTCCATCCTGCATTACTGACAATGGGGAATCCCGCCGGAAAATCTGGATGAACTTTCTCGGCCAACGCAGAGATCGAACACCCGACCTCCAGGCTAGCGAGCCAGCATCTTACCCACTTAGCCACCGTGATCCAGATCCCTTCTTCAATAGAAATCTTGATCTCGCCTTAACTACATACATCTTATCAAGGCCTTCAGTAATACCCTGCATATTTCAACACTAATTTTGATTGGGTACAAGCCCAGCTTGTGGGCCTATCAGATTCCTCAATCGTCGCGAATACCAAGTCGCACCCTTTCAAGCTAAAATGTCTACTTGTGATAATCGAGTTGCAAAGTTCAAGGTTCATTCAATGTCAAGGTTTCCATGCAGGTCGCGATGTCACAACTTCTGATTGGACGCTACTGCTCATGTGTCTGTAAATAACATAGCTCTAAGTTCGGGAATTGTGAAGTAAACAAGCAACGTCAAGATGTTGTAAAACTCGCAGTCGTTGCTTCAGGAACATGCTGTGACACCCATATTAATGATGAACACATAGGTACAGCCTCTGGCTACTGCTAAGAACAGAAGTGGGTTTTCACTATCAGAAATGTGTGAAAGTGTGAAATGAGTAAATTCAATATTTAAAATTAAATGCAATGAAATTGGCAATAAATAACAGCTGATGTTCTTATTCGAGCACATACCTACAATATTTTATCAAATTTGGTAGAAAAAATTTGCTTAGAAAAGATTATCAAGATAGTCTTAACCAATATACGAAATATGTTAAAAAATTCACACTTATTTCAAATTTCAAGGATTATAAGTATGCAATGTTTTATTCCCAAAGGATGAAAAGTGTTTCAAAGACATTGTTTCTAGGACAAGGACAGTAACTCTTTGAATAACTGACGAATTGTGTTAAAATTTGAAATCATTAGAAAAGTAGCTCTATCTCGGGATACGTCATGCAGTGTACTATAAGGGTAATTTTTTTCCGGACATCCGCGCTACAACAAACACTTATTTTGAATTCCAACTGTCATTGGCTCTTTTACGTGCAAACCAATGTGTACACACCTAGATGCTGTTCCTTGCCAGACTCTCTATGCCAATGTGCTCTGTCCAGACAACTGACGACAATATATGTCGAAATCCACGTTCAATTTAATTTAAATACTCATAAATCAATATTCCATAGTGCATCCATAATATTTAAAAGGTAATTTGCAAAATTGAAAGAAACAATTTCAAACTCGAAAAGTATCAAAAATTGTACTTTGACAAATAAAATAATACTGTTAAAACAAGGTACAGGAAAAAGCATAATATATCATTGTTTAAGAGAAATTTAACCTGATACAGGTTGTATGTTCAATGAAGTATCTCATTCCATCCATAAATATAAATAACATACATGTTGTAAAGCCACTGATCACCCTTTGAATTATTTTGAATCCCTTGCAAACTGTAATATTGTGAAAGTTGAATCTCTAAAATTAATATCTGTGATCAAAAATTAGATCAATTCCATACAATATTCATAGAAAGATATCATGAATAGAAAATTTCATACCATGTATACTATATTTGTGTTTAGTACAAATTTTGATAAGCCTTTTATTTTTATCTGATTGAATCCTAGCTAGTAGCCATATTGATAAATGTTAAATAATCAACTAGATTACATTTTAATAGGGATTAAGCAGGGAAAAATAATATCAACATATTATCAAAAATAAAATGCCGGTCAGCGACTTTAACTGAGAATAATTCTAGATAAATCCTTATGGATTGAACCTGCTGTACCACATAGCACTATGATTAAATTTACCGCTTTGAAAAAATAAATGCATTGACAGATATAACCTACAGGTATGTAAGCAGAAAGATTTCAGTCAACAATAAGGACTACAAAAGTCCAAATAGGTTTAGATGTATAATAATAAATTGCACATTATTCTATAAATCATAAGAATTAAAACCATTCATTATTCATCAACATACAATACACAAATCTGCACAGCGATAAAATTATTACTCATAATTTTATCACTTCAATAATTTTTGCAATACAACAAAATATCCCACACATGTTTTACAATACAATACGATTCAAAGAAAAGTTTTTCTTCCAATAATATGGTATTTAATTTAAAGCTTTGTTTACCCTTAAAAGAAAACATATTTATACATATTGCCAAGTCAAATTGTTAGCACTGTAAGGTCAATCAAATGGAGACAAAAACGGTTCAACACAAAAATAAATCACTCAAGCTCAAATTGTCAATATGAATACACCAAAATATTTGGTGAGTCAAAATCAGTTGTTTTCAAGGAGACTGGAGGTCCAGCATATATTGTCGAAGAGCTCCAGGTAAAGGGAGCATATCCACATTGGCTGCAATCTTCATGTTTAACGATCGATAGATAGAAATTCGTGACATTTGTCTCAAACTTCGAGGATTTTCAGTCAAGTTGTTAATTAAACTCAGAAAGTCCTTTCTGTTATCATCAAACAGATGAAAGCGCACCATTGATTTTGTCACATTCAAACATTCAAAAAGTATTTTGTGATCCATTGTATTATAGAACAAAAGAAGAAGTTGTTCAGCATGCCCATCTGAGAACAATGACTCACGTTCTTTGACTTCTGTTATATAATGATTAACAGGCTGGGTACTGTGTCTCTTTAAGAATATGGAACTCTGAGAGTGAAAAATAACAGGTTCAGACGGGTACGGTTCAATGTTGGGATTAGCACCCCACACAAATAAAGTCTTAAGCCACATAAGAATAATGGAAAAATCTTTTTGGGAAGTAGCATGTTCTGTTAAGCGAACAAATTCTATCAAAGCATTGCCTGTGCCTCCCTTAGGATACTGAGATACCTTTGATGTTACATGATTAGGGTCAAGGCCATATTTAAACAACACAATCAGAATATCATTTGCTAAGTTAGCAAACTTGAATCTGGTTTCTTCGCTAATTGGTTGACCGAGATCCGTTTCACGGGTAAAGAATCGCTTACAAATGGCAGCCATTATAGTAGAACAAGTAACATCATTACCAGCAACAAAATTTACAATTGCACCATTTTCGACTAGAACTTCCACACAATGCAAAACGTCTTCTGCCTGTTGGCACAATAATTTCATATCTTCATAAATAAGACATTGTAACAATAATATAAGAGGGGTATGTCCCTCGGAACATGTAAAACCAGCATCAGCTTTGTATTCTAACAAAACAGACATGGTTTTGTGAAGGGTGTTAAAATCATTACGATAATCAACAATAACATAATCAAAACTTGCTGTCTGCACACAAGTTGGTTTGAGAGTTTTATTACAGGATTTTAGTGCAATATGAAGCATACGGCTTAGAGGCTGTAACCCATGTGCATTTAAAAGATGCGGATCTGCATTAAATTTCAATATTTCTCTACAAGTATTGACAACCTGTTCTTGATAATCACTCTGGACTTGGCTTCGTTTATTTTGCTGACTTGGATCTTCAAAATTGCCACCGATATAAGAAACATGCGATATCAACATATGTAGAGGCGATTCACCTAATGATGTCATAAAGTTTATATCTTGTTCGATGCCTGTCGTTAGAAGATACTTAGTTGTGTCATAAATCGTGAACAGGCCATCACTACTGGCTCGGTACAATCGATGTAAAGCAGTTTCTCTAATGCCCTTGGAGATCAAATGTACATCTGCTCCATTATCCACCAGGATTTTTACACATTCTCTACCCCATCGAACAGCCGTCAACAAAGGTGTGTCGCCATTGTGACCATATTGGTTAATGCATTCTGGATATTTTTGGATAAAATATTTCATACTGTCGGCAGCTCCGGCTTGACAGGCTTGTAAAAGTAAAGAAATGGGACTAGGCCTTTTGTTCAGGGAAATGCTCTTTTCCATCAACACTTTCAAGCACTCTACATTGTTTTTCACTATGGCACAGAAAATTGGAGTGATTTCTTCTTTGTGACATTTATATACTGGAGAATGGGTGAATCCAAAATAGGAACTAGCATAGGAAGTCGGCAGATGTGATTCTGGGTAGCACATTCCACAGGCTTTGGTGTAGCCAGCACCTGAGTGTAGCAGAAGTTTCAGAAGATCAACATCTCCAAGATAGGCTGCTAAATGGACTGGGGGTGTACAATGATATCGATCTGGATTGCAGCGCTTGCTAAGCAGCATATACACCACCCCTTTGTAGCTGCGAATAACAGAATGCTGGAGAACATCAAATCCATTATTTCTGTCAACAACACTCAAAAGATCTTCATCTTCTGGTAAATTTTTCATCAAAGCAATCACATCTTTCTCTTGTGCTGATTCATCCTGTATTTTTGCAATGCATTGTATGAGAACTTCCTTTGTGGTGGATGATAGTTCCTTATAAATCTGACCATAGATGATCGTTATCGGCCATGTTGCTCTAAAATATTGATAAAGCGAATAAAAATAGCTGTATGTCACCTCCATAAAGTGATTCATCATTAATTATACTCCACACCATTCATAAAAAGTTCCTAAAACGAGAAAAAGAAAACTCTTATTAGCTTTTTTACCAAGAATTAACCAACTTCTGAAGACCCTGCTCACAAGAGATTGATAAATATAAAAAATGTCAAACACATGCCCCGAAATGCCCAAATTCCTCAGTTTATGGTAAGTGGACACTAATTCCCATTTCTCTGTCTCTCATACTAAATTCCTGTAACAAATACTAATACCGGTACATCTGCAAGCAAGTTGAAGCAACTAGTACTGGTACTGGGACTACTGTATAATTCAATTAAGTTCTTTATGCGAAGAAGACTCACACAGTTTGCATATTTATAAGTCTGTGTATGTGATCATTTACATGTAGATAGATGGTTTTTAAGTACAAGATTAAAATAATCTACTCTTGACTGTTGAATACACACGTCACAAACATGTAGGACCATTTATCAGTGTTATAACCTACATTATGTAACCTCTTACCCTACTGTAGTGTCTTTACTAATACCCCACTTCTTATGTAGCATCCTTGTTATACCCTACTTTGTACATAGCCTCTTTATACAATACCCTACTTCCTATGTAGCCTCTTTACAATATACCTTACTTCCCATGCAGAGTCTTTATACTATTCCCTACTTCGTACATACATAGACTCTTAAAAACTATACCCTATTTTCTACGTAGCCTCTTTATAATATAACCTACTCCCTACGTAGTCTCTTTATACTATACCCCAGTTCTGTAGCCAGATTGTCCCATGGACTTTTGTAATAATCTATATTATTGAATTGATTTTTAAGAATATGGGGACAGATGTTTGGTAATATTGAATGTTTATCAAACACAAACAAGTTACATGTACTGGTACATGTATGCCATGTCCCAATATGACCAACATCTCGATAAAGTTATAATAAATGAAATACATAAAAATGTGTTATCATACATGTACTTAAATGCAATTATTTGAAAATAAAAATATAATAGATAGTTCTAATCTGATAAATCAGTGCACTAATGCACAATTATATGTACTACCGGTAATGGACAATGTGTTTTTACAAGGGATGTGCCTACGATTCAAGTTACCGGGCGGCAATCCATGAAGTTTTGATCCGATACATGCCAATATCGAAAGGAATCTAGATCTTTTGAACAAAAACCTATATTTCAAGTTCCGTCAAAATCGGATAAGAATTGTGACCTATAGAGTGTCCACAAACAAATTGTGGACGGACAGGGGCGAGGACGATATATGTCCACATGAAAATGTGGGAGTATAAAAAGAATCTTTATTTGTTCCTTTCAACCTCATAAACTGAATAATAAATCATCTTGAGTCACGTCAAACTGACCTCGAATCATAGATATCCCAAATTAACGTAGGGCCTGTTTTCGGGGGAAATTCATTAATTTTGATTTCTTGTTTGCCGTGCATTTATGTAACTGATATATATGTAGACTCTTTTAACCTGTCATATCAGTGCTATTTAACTAGCATGGTTGGTAACGTGACTGGTAAAAAAAGTTTAGTTTGTTTACAGGCACTGCACCGTTGTAGTTTAGCATTATATTTTTAATGGAATATAATTAATAAGTGGTCTTTAAAATATCAGTTTGCTGATTCAGACGGGCATGTCTGTCATCCATCCATCAAACGAACTTAGTTCAGCTATGAACATATATATCTATATAAGTAAGATAAGTTATAAGTGAAATAGTGATCTAATAGATATTGTATAATCATGATAATAGTGTAAAATAATTGAATAAACATCACGCTTAAGACACCGAAGCTCGAGGCAGGAAACCGTGTGGATCAATTCGCTTAATTTTTTTATGTACCGATACTTTTATTATGTAACAATTACAATGTCCAGTGTGTTTCGCGAACTTTCAAATTAATGTATTCTTAATTATTATGGAAATTGAGTATTATATCTGCATACACATCTAATATTGTACGAAAAATTTTGGGGGAGTAAGTCGGTTTATTGGAGTGGCGTCTTTAAGTTATAGACATGTACTAACTTGCCAGTAGTAGCTTTGTTATCGGTTAGTTTTACTCCCCAGATATACATGTAACTATTGAAAACAGAGTGTAACAAATAGATGTATTAAAGTGGAAGTTTCTTGTATTATAAGCTTGTGCTTCAATTTTTTTTCATCAGATTCCCGCTTCAAAATTCCGAACTAGTGAAAAAAAAATGGTTCATTTCAACAAGAATAAGTCGTAAAAACTTCATTCCCAGTTAAATTTTGTGAAAACAAAATAGGCCTGATATTTTTATTAATCGATGCTACTGCAAAAATCTCATTAAGTTAATCTCATTTTTTGGTAAAATTTAATATACCTCCGTATTTTTTCAATCAAAGAAAAATTTGACACCTTGAAAATAAAAGCTATGGCATATAGCCTAGGCCTAAGGCCTTGCTTGCCATGTTTATAAAATTAACTTTTTTTCAAGATGTTACATGCATCAATAATGAAATTAAGTTTGTCAGGTGAAACTAAAGGCAAACAATCGTGGCGTGGTTATAAAAACAAATGAAATGAAATGGGGTTTAACGTCCAACTGGGTTAAAAACAAGCATAGCTTTATATCTCAATATTTTTAGCTATGTTTTCGTAGCTAGATGACCACATGACTAGATAGAGACCATTTGAGTAGATAGAGACGGGAGATTCATAACTATTACATCTATATAGAGTATAGCCCAACCTTGATTCAACAAACAGATCCCAGTTTTTGACACTATATATAAAAACTGATGCAATAAATTTTTCAAACCTATTAGCTTGATTCTACCCCTATATATATATGAATGTATTTTTTATATAGATGTAGGCCACACTGAATTTAATTGCATTATTCATATGGATCAATACAAATAGCACTAGCAAAGAATAACTCAATAAGTCTTAATGTTAATTTAAACATGGACCTTATATGTAAATAACTCTATTGTTTATTTTATTATTTTGTCTTGGTGGCTTTTTTAAATTCAAACATAAGTTGCAAAATAAGAACTGTAAACATTGAAGTATTATCTTGTCATGACACAATTTTTTTTTTACTAAATCATTGCCGAACTCTTGACCCTTTTGCGTAAACAAAACATCTGCTCATATGTCGAATGGTGTCATTTAGCTAAAAACAATAGCTTCTAAACGACAGTAATATGCCTAAAGTCGAAATTTGCATATAAAAGTTATTAAAACATAACACAAATGTAGCATACATTACCTCAACCAGCCATGACATTGTTTTATGGTTGCACTAACACCAGAATCAAAATGCAAAAGATTCATTACATTTGCACTCAGGAAACATGCGATGATTTTAACCTTGATTTTCCATTCGAACAACCAGTCACCTTTTCGTTATTCTTTTTCATGCTCAACAATCACTGGCTTAAATGTTTTTCATTCCTTTGGTCCAAGGGAAAGAAATCTATTTAGATTACTAAATGTAGTTCTCTCCCTTAGACCGTAAAATGAAATAAATTGATAATGTGACACCTAGGCTATTTGATGCCTGAATATAGTTAGTGGAGGTGGATTGTCGAAACAACGGGAAGACGGACCGTAAAATATTGTAAGTTTCCGTAGGAAGTGACAAATCAATTTTGTTTCGTATTAAGCCCTAAGACACATTTTGCGTCCATTGTGCCGTGGAGAGCTTCCCAAGAAATCAAATACTAAGCAGCAAAAAAAGCAAAAAACGTCAGGTTGGTATGTTACTCTGAATAGACGCATTGCATAAAACTTGCCAAATGTTTCTACTGTATATGTTGAGCGCAGATTACCCTCCGAATCTTATCTGTGTCCACATCTCCAAATTTACCAGAGCAATAATATAAGGCTCCTTCCCAAACACAGAATTGAACCCAGGAAATGCAGTTCTCAAAAACGCAACCTGACTTCTGAGATGGTAATGTGTTCTCCATGATTTTCAAGTAACTCATGCTGCACGTGTTGTTCACCGGGACCCACCCTATAAAATGCACCCCCATACCTGATTGAATCATTCACACTACAACGTCAGCAGCATGCCGCGACTCACGACAGCTCAGAGGAACCAGGCACTTGGAAGACTCGACGCTGGCCACACTGCCCAAGCCGTTGCCAATCACTTCCCGGTCAATGTTCGGACCATCTACAGGCTTCAGCAACGCTTTCGGGCCACCAACACCACGGATGATCGCCCCCGAACTGGTAGACCAAGGGTTACCACAAGGCGACAAGACCGCCATGTTGTGCGACAGGACGTGCAGAATCCCTTCACATAGGCATCTGAGACAGCACGCCAGACAGTGGGAACACACGGAAGACAGAGAACATCCATTGCCGTAGACCTTACCGTGGACCGATCCTCACCCCTCGCCAAACGTCTACGGTTTGCCCAACAACACCAGAACTGGCGATACAGGCAATGGAGAACTGTTCTGTTCACAGATGACAGTCGGTATTGCGTATCAACTGCAGATGACAGGGCCAGAATATAGCGTCGACGTGGCCAGCAATATTCTGACCAATGTGTCATGGAACGAGACTCATGGGGAGGTCCAAGCATAATGGTTTGATGTGGAATCGGCCTGAACCAGAGAGTAGGTCCTGTGGTGTTCCAAACTCTTGGTCCAGGGAGAGGAGGCGGCATCACAGCAGTGCGTTACATCGATCAAGCTCTCAGGCCCCACGTCATACCACAATTCGGACGTCATCAAAACAACATTTTCCAGCATGACAACGCACGTGCCCACACCACCAGAGTTACCCGGGACTTTCTACAGCAGAACGGTGTCAACTTTATGCACTGACCAGCCCTTATTCCGGACTTAAACCCGATTGTATATCTTTTGGGATGAAATTCAGAGGAGACTTAATAACGCCGTAGGCCCTACCGAGACCAAACACAGCCGATGGATTGCGCCAGGCTTTTCTAAGAGTGTGGTTTCAGGTGCCAATGGCCCACTCCATGTCCAGACGCTGCGCTGCTGTTATTGACACTCGCGGTGGACACACCAGATATTCATGTATAGGCTGTATACAGACTGTAAACATTCTCGTCATGTCTTGAAATTGTGATGAATTAATCACTAATGTGTCAACATACTGTTCACAAAAAAATGCTTTTGAACTCGGACTAACTGTAAGGTGTAATCCCCCAACATTTTACGATTTTGAACCCATTTTGCTGTCAAAATTTTACAATTCGTAAATTCGATCCCTAGTTATCATTAAAAGCATTATTTTAGAGGTTTAGGGAACGAAGTTCCTGAGAAAATTGTGCAGTTTTGAGCGCATTTTGATCTAATAAATCGCATAAATTCTATTTCCCGTTGACAATGACAGGTCATATTTCGCGCCTTCAGCGCCCGTTGGGAAGCTTCCTAAACAAAAAATTCACATATACGACTTAAAAAAAATCAGCCACATTGTGACTAAGAGCGGCAAAGATGTGGCGAAGTGTTTGTGTGTGTGCGTGGTGTAGTCATGATAAGAATGTGGAGAGCGTGATAGGCAATGGCATGCGCGGCTACTACCATGTCCCAACCGTACTGATCAGGGGCCTGTTTCACGAAATTTTAACTAAGATAAAATCCAAATTTTAGTAATTTGATTGGATAATATTAGATTGATTTTAGTGCTTAGCCAATCAAAACTGAAGTATCTACTAAAATTTGAATTTTATCTTTAGTTAAGATTTCGTGAAACTGAAACAGGACCCTGGCCGTAGGTCGTAGAAAAGTCGTGGTCTGTAATGTGTGAATATATTTTTAGCTTTATTGATGTTTCGTTTTTTACTTTGTTTTTTTTTCTGCTAGGTTGTAACTGATGCACTCGACAAACCTCGGTAGATTCCGTTACTCTACATCTAGCCTCGGCAGTATGACGTACCAATTTACCTACGCCTATAGATACAATTGCGATGCCACTCGGCAAACCTCAGCAGATTCCAGTGCCCTACATCTAGCCTCGGCTGTATGACGAGGTCCGCCATTGGAACTACTTTCACGGATTACCAACGGCGAAGAATGTTTTATCCATAGAAATATATTCTATGGTTTTATTATACAAATATTTCATGCGGCACCGGTTTACTTATTAGGAAAACTTGCGCTTTTAAAAAGAAGTTATCAAAATTGCGTAGTTCGAAGCGTGTGTAGAATTTCAGTGCAAAGTTGTCCTTGTTTGAAAAACAGCTTCAGACTTTGAAATATTTGCATGATAAAACATTCTTCAAATGCGTCGTCATGGGCAACGCCGTTGGTAATCAGGGAACGTGAAAGTAGTTCCAATGGCGGACTTCGCCATACAGCCGAGGCTAGATGAAGGGTACTGGAATCTGCTGAGGTTTGCCGAGTGTAACTGATGGATCGAGGTGACTGGAGCAAGCACGTGATTAGAGCGTCCTGCCAGTGTGGCGCGGTCTTCTAGAGCGCGACGGAAACCAGCCGAGTGCGCGGAAACGTGCTGAGAGCAGCAGGAACACTTGCGAAAAGCGAGCGTAGCGAGGGCGTATGCGACGTGGTGTGCGCGTAGTGAGAATATGGAAAAGGGTTAGAATTTCGGCAATTTTGCGCGTGCCATGGCACGCGATTGGGTTTCCCGCCTTTCAACGGGACCTCACCACAGAAGTTCTGCACGTAGCTTAAAGATACATTAGATACAGAGCTGGCAGTTCTCACTATAATAGTTAAAAATAATAGATAATGTAAAAGGAATTTGCTGAAAATTTCAGTCAAATTGATTCACCCTGAGCCGAGATTTTAGCGATTCAATTTTCAGGCCTAGCCTGGATCATCATTACTAAAGTCGGGACGATAAAAAACTGTCTCGATGATCCATTTCATGATTAAGTCAAGAATGAAAGTGGAGCAGCAAATGGTATCCTAATCCAATAAACATCACGGGCTAGCGTTGACATCGAGAGTTGTTTATGGTCCGGATACGTAAATTAATGTCTAATTAATAATTTAGATAACATTTCAAGCCTAAAGAAAGACCTGCAATAGGCAGATTTAGCTCTTGCATAATGTATGTTTAAGGAATATTTATCATTCTATACAATAGAGTTTGACACGTTCGGCGCCCATTATAATAGCTGCATAATAAAACCAATAGATTTTGATGCCTTCAAAAGAATTGGACATAGAGCATGGCGGCTATAGCAAATATGGGTTGTCAGGCAACGTAACATACGCCCACGGCAGCTAAGTCGTCTGGGGAGTCAACAAGGGTTGTAGCTTATTTTTATACGTCCACATTCATAATATGGACGTATATTGGCGTCGTATGTGTGTCCGTGTGTCGCCTGTAGGGCGCAATTCTTAACTGATCGCCTTGAAACTTTACATACTTATTCGTTATGTATACCCTACGGGTGACCCATATTGTTTTTGGTGCATGCCCGGCCTGCAGGGACAGAGCCACGCAATGACGATTCTTCACCTCAATACCTTAGAGACCTTCTCAACACCAATAAACCTTGCAGAATCCTTCGGTCACAGTCAGACAACCTTTTAATTAAGCCTTTAATTATGGTATGGAATTCAATATCAAACGAAACCAAAAGCGCGAATTCTATTAAAGGTTTTAAAAAGTATCTCAAAACCAAACTTTTTAATCAAATATACAACTGATTGAATACGGTCCTAGCTGTGTTTGTGTCAGACCTTTGCCATGTGTACTAAGTAATGTTCTCCGTTTTTGTTTTTGTCTATTTTAATGGATTAATGTGTTGTGATTGTTGTAATTTTACATTAGCTGTACTTGCGTAAAGCGTCCGAGAGTAGCTCGCTGAGTTGAATTGTTGGCGCTATATAAATCAATTATTATTATACATGTATTAAGATATTTCAAAGTGATCAAGGGTCATAACTCGGGAAGTGATTATTGGAAATCGTTTAAAATCAACAGGTGTCTTCGCCTCATGGCCTTAAACACTGTGTATAAATTTTAAGTAAACCGGAAATTAACTTTAGCCTCTAGATCGCCCACAAGATTTTTTATAGTGATCAAGGGCCATAACTCTGACAGTGATTATCAGAAATCGTTTAAAATCTACAGGCTTCTTCATCTCATGACATTAAACACTGTGTATTTAAATTCAATCGGATATTAACTTTAGCCTCTAGAGCGTCCACAAGACTTTTCAAAGTGACGGACGGACGGGTGCGAGGGCAATATACCACTACATTTCAATGTGGACGTTCTGTTAATGAAATCTAGTTCTGACGCACATATTTCTCGAACATCAGTTGATAAGTGGAGGAGGCGCATCATGGGTTTTTGCGCCCCCTCTGGAGTTTTTCACAATTAAGAACTTCCATGTTTAGATTCTGATCTTCATAATTTCATAACCATTCTGCTC